GATTTGCAGGAGTGACAGTTCATTCGAAAGCCGTTGAAATGGTTTATCGCGTGCGACGGAACAATGTCTCTGATGTTTAGAGTTAGGCAATTTTGGCGCTTGGATATCAGCAAAACATTGCCCGGAATACAGAATTCAGCGTAAATATAGTATGTACTGGAGTGTACTCGAGGAAATAGTATCACAAAGTGGAGCTTTTAAAAGCACGACGAATAAGTATAGATCCAAAGGTGTGCGACAAAATGCCGCTGAGCCACAGTGAAAAAAGCACGAGTGCACAAGTGAACGATTTGCACGCACGTTCGCTCAAGGACACAACATTCTGATCTGGATAAGATATACGCGTGGTCAATTCAGAATCTACTTCGATCCAATGTAGACAAATATATAGTGCTGCACATACGAAACCATTTGGTATACTCCTAAAAACTCGGCAATCAGTAGCTTAAAACATTTTCTGGCGAGAAGGATCTGGAAATTTTGCTCCAGATCGACCTTGGATGTGCAAATCGAGCTGAAACGGCGTCAAGTAGGAGCATCCAACACGTGGGCCTACTGAAGCATACATTCGGACGATTCGACCTTTCGATTTCCCCACATTTCTCGGCGCATACATACGGTCACATGTGAAATACGCAATACAGGTCTGACAGCCATGATTAGGAAGAGATCTCATCGCGTTGCACACACCCCAACGCCGGGCAGCCAAGAATTACACAGGTCTGTATAAGTTGGCGTATGAACGAAGGCTACAAGTGCTCGGGGTTTTCAGTGGACAGTGTCGGCGATTGCGCGGGGACCTCGTCTTGGCTTCCCAGGTTTCGAGAGATCCCAACTACATGTGACGCAACTGGCTAAAGCGCAGTTACAACAGCAAACAACTGAAGGCATCAACTGAAACTGGCAGGACAGTACAGTCATTTGGAATGTCGTCGGAATTTCCTTTCCGTACGCGTTTGCAGAACGTGGAATGCCCTATCGGAATTTGTCATCTGTGCTCCCACGTTAGCAGAGTTCAAAGCCCGAGTTGATCGTACACTTATTTCGATGCACCATCTTACATGATCCATTACCCATGGATAAACACGTCTGTAAGAGATTTCACTGGCGCAGAACCCAGATTTCGTTCCACTTTTGTACCCCTTGTATGTGTACACCTGAAGGAGACACGATTTTACCAACATCCCTTTTGCCATTATTTCTTATGGATTTACCTTAGATTTACAGCTTGCACCGCGTATTGCTCAGTGAATTCACCGGTGTAAACCCAATTTCAGTGACATTTTTTTCATATTTTAAAATTGCATCATAATCTTCCTTCGAGACCTGTTAAGGATTAGCTATTTTCCCCGTATAAAAGCATTTTTCCATAACTCTTGATTTGGTCAATTTCACGTTCACTCCCATTCTCTTTTCTCCGCGCTATTTTTTAAACGCCTTTGAATGTAAGTGAAGAAAGCATCCATCGTTCATATTCTGTAAGCTATATCGGTGTTTTCTTGTCCAATAATTTATCCTATTCGACGCACATTCTTTACACTTGTTCAAAAGTCAGGATGCTATGCTTTTACTCTCTTTGGCTTAAAATGCTCTCCGTACCGCGTGCTCTGTTTCCAAGGTTTGTAAATGTATGTATTCTTGGCATTGGATGTACTCTCCCCCTGTTATTTTCTGAGGACTATTTTAAAAGGACTATACACTTCTTGCAAAATCACTAAAATTTATTTCCCAATGCTGTGGATGAAGCAAGGAAACTCTCCTCGATTTTGTGGTCAGCAAGCACCTTGACCCATGTTTTAATTACTAATCCAAGAATCTAAATGACCCCTCTCACCCCCTACACGCCGTTTTAGCAAGTTCGGAATCCATTTCTTCTGCGCGGTCGTGATTTAGTTTTGTTTTCCCGTACCTCTTCTCATCGCAACTCCAGTTTGCCTTATCTGTCTCACTTGTTAGTCGACCCAAGAATGAGGATACAACAACTGCGAGAACGTTTGCTAGCTTAAAATTTACTTGTTGTTGTTCGTGTCAGTTCACCTCAGTTTCCACCGATTTTATGTTGTAGTATGTCCGCCGTTGTAGTGTCATTCATTCATTCATTATACATGTTAGCAAGTGGCGTAAAACGCTTCAGCTACTGTGCCGCAATACATAAAAGAAAAAGAAATTAAGTACAACATCTGCATGACACGGCTGCGTTACCAGCTACCGTGGTAGTGCGAATTGCTGAAAATACTCGCACACGGATGTGTAAAGCTTATCTTGTGCATGTACCGAAGTTCAACCTACACATTTCAAACCCTGCAATACTGCCTCATGATTTCTTTTTCACCGGTAAGTGAACATTCCATTGCGTCAAAAGTGGAGTGGTTTTCAGTGGTCTAAAAGCAAGCAGGGAACTAAAGTAAAAACGCGACTAATTACTGGCCCGTCGAGAATTCTTTTAGGTCCTAACGTTCTCAGAATGGTTCTTGGTGAAGGGGTGTATCATAGGCATACAGGAAATCTTGAAACAGTTAGTTTCCTTGAGCATTTTAAATACCGCAGTGAGATAACGGGAGCTGACAGGTTAACATTTCGTATTGTCTCATCAGTGCCAATACAATAACAGGAAAATATATAGCACCACAGCTAGGGTGTGACCGGATAAGATAGAGACAGTGTGGAGTACAGATATGCCACCCCTACCTCCATGAGAGCTTTAGGCTTACGAACAGCTGTTTTTGCACACAGAGTGCCGGTTTGATCCGGCTGATTGCGACAGTCTCGGCGAAATGTAGATAGATAGTGAACTGTGTGGTTGGGTCGAACGGATGACAAGTGGCCAATAAGTGTCTACCTAAAGATGAGGCAGGAGGCTTTCGTGAACAGGTGGAAGACGTAGCGGAAGATTGGGTAATTTCACGCTGCACCCAATTAGGCACATGTTCCCTCAGTCTGGAATTCATCAACCTCTCGGTACGACCGATGTAACATGATCCGCAGCTACCAATGGTTTGGTAGATGCAATGTGAATTGGCGCCGACAGGTTGTGCTTCCTTCGTTGGAGAAACAGGCACTTTGCTGGTTAGTAATAACAACAGCTTCGGCAGCAGAATAAATCCTATGCATAACAGAAATTATGCGCTTGCTTGTCCTCATCGTGGCAACATCACCATTAAACTGTAGTTTTATAAAAATCGGCTTGGTGGCCACAGTGAAGACCTATCTGGCCACTCTCCTCTGGCTACTTTCCAATAAACCGACTAGGATAACCGTTTTTCAAATGTACATTACTCAACAGCTCCTGTTCCTCCTTCAAACAATCAGGGGTGCATATCCTTCTTGCGCGATTAAACAGTCTTTAGTAATATCCGTTTGTACCGCATTTCAGTGAAGCTGGTGAAATCAGGTATTGCCCGGACCATGTTGGTTTTCGCTTAACAGATCTCCTAATGAGACCGTTTTCTCTACAAGGTCACACTTGGAAAATATTTAAACAGGATGCTCCTAGTCCCCTCCGCCGTTGCCCTTTCTACTCGGGTGGTAAATCACTGGAACAGCCTCCCGGAAACCGTAGTCAATGCACAGACTGAGGAAAGTTTCAAGCGGTTTTTGAACCTCCACCTTGCAACATTCCCGGACAGCACTGTTCCTCTGCGACTCCCCTGGTCACTTCTGGACTGTTGGGTCGCTAGGACACACTCACTTCTCGTGCTGAGCTGGAGACGATGGGGCTAACATGGGACTTGCCTTCTGCTCTCTACAACTCAATGGAATAATCAGTACGTCCAAAAATGGGAGACTGTTGTTACATTCTGCTTCCTGGTTACTTTCAAATTGGTATGCACATTATTGCGAAGTTCGACAAGACGTGTAATCTGTGTTGTTGATCAACAGACCAATAAAATATCGTCCAAGTAGCGTTTGTAGTAGGAAAGGCGGGAAATTTATGCACGCAACTTTGTTGCTACCATGGACATTGTTGAGATATGCCTCAGTTTTAAGCAGACACTTATTGGCCACTTGTCATCCGTTCGACCCAACCACACAGTTCACTATCTTGTTGAGACATGCTAACACCCGCTTCCTACTTTTCGCCGAGACTGTCGCAATCAGCCGGATCAAACCGGCACTCTGTGTGCAAAAACAGCTGTTCGTAAGCCTAAAGCTCTCATGGAGGTAGGGGTGGCATATCTGTACTCCACACTGTCTCTATCTTATCCGGTCACACCCTAGCTGTAGTGCTATATATTTTCCTGTTATTGTATTGGCACTGATGAGACAATACGAAATGTTAACATCTGCCAGCTCTCGTCTTCTCACTGCGTTATTCAGGAAAGTTGTCCACTTGATTGGCTGAGTTGAGAATTTGAGGCAGATATGAAGCACTACCTAGCGAAATTCCACACACACCTGACGTTTTATGCGGAGTCGTAAACACTGCAACCCAGTTGAAAGCGAACAAGGGAGTTTGCCGTACATTTTACCAAATGCAATAGCGGTCACTCGACCTGCCCATGTGTGCACTGGACCACTAGACGAACAAGAACCGAAGCTAAGGCTGTTCACTGTGGGCCAAACCCTCCGAGAAATAAATATGGCGCGTTAACACGGTTTCTTACAGTCTAACCTTAGCAGAATCCCAGCAACGTACGGAAAGACAGGATTAGCGGACTTCTTCTAACCAACCGCAGAGAATTTTGCTGTCAGAGTTACTCGTCAGTGGCCAAAATCGCCGATGTTACTGTTACTGCAGCCATCTATAGGTTCCCTCTTGAAGAAAGGTGATCTGGGACGCCCGCCAAATGGAACAATCTTAACGATCTTCATAAGTATTACTGCTCTCTACTTAGGGGACACAACTAACGTAAGTGGTATACAACTCACCGCATTACCTAAGCCTGTGAGCAGCTGTAACTGTGCCACATGTCATAATCTAATGTTGTATTGTGTACACCATCATTGGCCCCAGTTAACTCTTCGTGTTTACACCGAATCAACGTGTGTTGGGTTGGTGCATAAGTTCCTTTCAAGTAATGTTTATTTTCGACATCAGGCAAAAGATGCTATGAGAGCGTCGGTAGATATGTTACCGGACCTTGCCAGTTGCTGTTTCATCAGTCAGTGTCCTGTGAGCAAAGGTCGAGCACCTGCTTTTTCCACCGTATAACCCAGGCGTGACTGCAGTGTTTTCAACCAGTAGCCCAATTCTTTGTCTCCAAAGCAAGGTATATAGACCTTCAGTTCATCTGGCAGACAGGCAGTCAGCGAGTACCTCATACGCTCATCATCAGCGATTCGGTGGTAACACTTCAACACCAGACATAGTAACCGCCTGGCCCCGTCCAAGCTGGAATTCTCTCGTACCCAATTCACCATTTCGGCTTTGTGATACTTGCCTGAAGCCGTGCACTGAGAACGAGCAACGTAGAGTGTCTGCACCACGTGACACACAATACCTTTGAGACTCGATAGCAATGAAGTGCAACGATGGGTGTCCTCTGAGAGTCTTGCAATCACTTTGTCCGTGAGAAGACGATAACACAAGTTCACTGCAATCTGCTTCCCGACCATCGAGATACAGCTGGTCAGGGTGGTTATTGCGCTGTCTAGTAGGTTATACTTCGTATCAATTACAGCATCCCATGTTTTAGTCTCCCAGTCCGTTGGGACATAGAGTAGGTGCATCTCTATATCTTCTGCAGACGCATAATTCACGGTGGTCAAATATAAATTAAGCAAACTGAGGCGCATCTCCTCTGCTTCTGGAGTGGATTCGCGTAGGTCCATATATGGTAGGAGATAGAGTAGAGAGCCAGAGGCAATAAAATCTGACCGAATCATGTGATCGCGGACAATCTTTTGCAGTAAACCAGCAATAGCACATATTACCTGTAAAACAAAAAGACTGAAGCTGCATTCATATTCTACATGTTGTTATAAATACTTCCATTTGTTCACTCGAAATTTGTCATTAGCTATAAGTATTTACTATCAGTGAACATTGAAATAGCAGAAACCAGGGTCAGGTGGGTAAGTATTGGGGGTTACGGGTGTCAATCGAAAGATGAAAAACATTTGGTCACATCAACCTTTGGACCGTTATGCCTCGGCATAGCGTAATACTAAGGTATATTTCTCGTGGAACCGAGATACCGAGCCCACAAAGGGACGGATCCTATTTAAATTGCAACATGCTCAAGCATGCGAGGCTGTCGGTGGTTTGGGCTTTTGCAGGGTTGCACTGGGGCTATTTTGCGAATATTTTCATTTGGGACTTTTATCGCCGTATACTACCAGTTCGCGGGCATTCCCATCTGGTTGTTTTCGGTGCAGCTTTTGGTATCATAATGGCGACGGTTTAATGGGGGGAGAGTATGAAAAGGATGAAACAGTTAGATACACCAATCAAAATCAAATGAGTAATACACAATCTTACTTACTAAACGAGTAATACCGTTGGAGCTGTTTGTGAGTAACAAGTTTAGGAGTTGCGAACATAAGAAATATATTAAGGTAACTCCGGTGGATCATCAAACTCAAGTTGCTTTGGCAAAATGATATAGGCAGTACTCACATCGTAGGGATTTAAGGCATAGCGTAGTGTCTAGACATTCATTGGTCTACTTATGGAGTTGAACTAATCAAGTTATGTTTCTACCTGACAGATGCTTGAGATGCTGAGTGAGCTCAGTTGCATTCCTTTTGGCCTTCACTTCTAGGTGGATATTTAGGGCGTACTTGACTATGCACAAAAAAGGTAATGTTGAAAACGCAGAATTAAACAGATAGGTATACAAAGAAATAGACGCCTATTCACTTCAAAGTCAGGACGTAATCAGTGCATCGTAGTCTTATAGAAGATGTCATAGACATGGTGATTAGGAAAGTGTGTAATAGTTGACCGATTTTTGGCGTAGAGGTAGAGAGCAATGGCACCACAACTAAGGAATAAGTTAATGAGAAATCTCGGTAAGACAGTAGGACGGTAGAGATAAAGTAACTAGGAACCAAGCGCACAACAGATTCAGTGCAGTAAGAGCTAGAGTAAGAAAGAACAAATGAAGTGATGCGATCATCCGTGTAGTACGGCTAATCACCGATCTACTGTAATCGTCAACCAATCGGTTAGATTGTTTGCAGCATTTGAACCAATACCCGACTTTCCCCTAGCTAGTAAACGTAAATATCGAGCAAGCCACTGGCTGACAAGACAGCCTTTCAGTGCATATAGGTCGGTGGATTTGCCTTTTCAAAGTGGAACTTCGTTGCAGGTTAGCATCGCTTGTGTGAACACGCCGCACCGGCCGCCGAAAGCGAGTCGTGGTTGTCTTACTTACGGATTAGCCCATCCGCTTGTGCTACTATTTAGCTGGTGGGGGACAACGGTCATTCCCCCATACCTGTGCCTTCCGAGCAGCTTAAGGCCGTCTAATGTTCGCAACAACCACTCTGAGTGGTGCGACTGAAGCGTTTAGGTCAGTCGACCACTTGCGACCTCGTGTGACTCATTCGCAGTCCACGCCCTGTCATGTCGCCATTGTTATTGTTCGAGGCTTTGAGGTTCTACTGTGTTGGCTCCAGATCAGCTCACCGCCAAACATGAACACCTTGTCCAGGTGCACCCTCGAACAGGTGACTAAGCCGTCGCTGCAAAACACCCTCGCTCTATACGTGTCCGCCTGTCTGATTGAGGCAACCACGCAGTGGTCGCGCCATGTAGCTGTTAGGTCCACCGCTCTCAATTCGCGATTAAATTGCAAGTGGACTTTTCCAAAATTCTAGTGAATTAGCCATTCTCATCAGCTAGTACTGGTTGTCTTCAATCGTGTGATCGAGAACAATCTTTTGTAGTAAACCAGCAATCGCACATAATAACTGCAAAACAGAAAGATTGAAGTTGCATTCATGTTCTGTATGTTGTTATAAATAATTTCACCTTGTTCACTCGCCATTTGCCATTAGCTATAAGTATATACCATCACTAAACATTGAAGTAGCATAAACCAGGGCCAAGTGGGTAACTATTGGGGGCTACGGGTAACAATCGCAAGATGAAAACATCTGGTAACATCAACCTTCCGCTGGCCAGCTACTATCCAAAAGGATCTAGGTGAAGGCCGACCAGCATCTGCTTCAGAGTGACCTGGATGCGGCATATCAACGGTCAACCCAGAATTTACCGCATTTCAACGCCAGTAAATGCAAGGTGCTTTCCATCCGACATCAAAGCAGCTACTCATACCGGCTCGGAACGAATGTACTGCAACGATCAAATGTCGAACGTGACCTAAGCGTCCTGGTTCAAGATGACTTGGGTTGCTCCAGGCAATCCGAAAAAGCCTAGAAGACTGGGAACCAACACGTCGGGCTGCTGCGACGGGCGTTTGGACAAATAAACAGCTCCATATTTCGACAAATGCTCAGTGTGTATGTTCGCCCCCATGTCGAATACGCAATTCAAGCCTGGCATCCATGGCTGAAACACGACCTTAATGCACTGGAGCAGCCACAACGTCGGGCATCTAAGAACGCAATTGGCTTGCGCAATCTTTCATCCCAGGAGAGGCTGCAACGATTGGAGGTAATCAGTGGAAGCTATGGCAGACTACGGGGCGACCTGATTATGACATACTTGGTTCTGCGAGACCCACATCATATGTGCCGCTCTTTACTGCGACTCAGCACCAACACAACCATGAAGGGCCTGGAGTGCCGCAGAAATTTCTTTTCCATTCGTGTCTGTCACCCGTGGAATGCTCTCCCAGAATCGATCGTCTCTGCACCGATACTAACAATATTTAAAAGACGGTTGGATGACGCACTCATCCACTTACACTTTGTCACTTAGCACTACGTCTCCATCCTAAACCTGGAGTTTACTATGGAAATAATTGATGTTAATTTCGGATCCTGTGAATCTAAGCGGATTTCAGGACTACAGTAGAGCAAAAATAAGTCCTTATTTTCACATATAAAGTACTAACAGTTTTACTATCAGTAGTATCATTATTATTATTCCGTTATCCCCACCAACTATCCAACGGGACTCGTAAAGCAGCACTTATTAACCCGTATAAATGCATTGTTCATTGTTCATTGGAAGGATTTTGGCTCAACAATACTGTGCACGACACTGGAACTAGCGAACGGTCATACTACAGGGCAGTGCAATACTCTATAGTCTTGTTTTTCACGTCCATTTGAGTAATCGTTAAGTTCTCATTTAACTAACTAGTACCTTCCACATTTCACGTTATCCAGTGAGTTGAATAATATTACTGCCCCCCCGGCTGTCGCCTGACTGCTGCTTTGTTACCAACACGTGGCTCCGTAGGAAAGCAAATGAGTAAAAGTTGTTTTCCAAATTTTCAATCTATAGCTCAACAAGCTGCCGTTCTGCTGTCATCTATAATAAACCATCCTGACCGCTAGTGTTTTCTACATCCTGCCTATTCTCAGGGGTGCCACCTGTCTTCGTTCATGCTATTTTGCCGTCTACACAATGAAGTGTTTGTTAACTACGTCCGTGTACATAATCTTGTAGTATAAGAACTCCACAGGTGTTCCTGGTATCAGGGCACAGGTAATTTTTTGAACTAACAAAATTTGTGTTTTACAACTCTGCTGTCCTCGTGCATGTATACTGTCCCTAAATCGACCCCATTTTGGAACAAAATCATCACCAGCTATCCATGGGAGCAAAACAGAACAGTAGAGTCGACCGCTTTTGAGTATTCCCCTTTGTCCACCCTGGGTAGTCACGCCTCATACTACAAACTAGCTTTTGCTGTGTCACACATTTCGCATGCTGACGCATTTCATCACTTGATCGAGTTCATGGCTCGCAGTTCCGTTCCGTACACAATATGTAAACAGTAAAGGAACTCAAAATTGGACTTGGAGTACCCGCGGCGCGACACGCAATCTATATTGAGACCTCGGTTCACTTTGAAGTAGACCTCGGTCTTTACGATCTCAAGGATCTTATCCGAATTGGAAATGCTTCAATGTTGCTCCTCCCAACACTGTCAGTGTTGGTAACATTAAAGAACATCTTGAGAGATCTATGGATCTAAGGATGAATTTGAAACCACTATAGATGCAGTTAACTGCGAAAAGACATAGTTGTATACGGAGACAGTTAACATGCAGTTTGATGACGAAAGTTATTGCAGTCCTCGGTCATCAGGCTCACATGCGTTCCGTTTGGAGGGAAATAAACACTAACCTCGCGAGGATAGGGCGAGGCCGGTCACAAAGCCTGTCTGTCTGCATAAAATTGGTTTCATCCGCCGAATGGCTAAGACCTCAGTGAGTTGCAGAATACGGGGTCTGGGTCGTTTGCTAATTACCTTAAACATTCCGAGGAGTTTGCTATGCAGAGCAGTGGAGCAGGTGGCGAGCAATCGAGCTAGTATGTAGCTTGGGGCAGCTTGCAATCATCTTACGTGAACTGATGAGTAGTGGGAAGGAAGGTACTTTGCAATCCTTTCAGACAGCCATCTCTCTCTTCGGCCAATGTACTTGCTACCGTAAGTACAGTGAAAAAGGCCTGCCCATGGAGCAATAGCTTGAGCCTGGTTTGTCCCGTTTCGATTTGTACAGCAAGCTTTTGATCTGGTGCAATACTACTAGTTCGGCTGTATCAAAACATTTCTTAATAGATTGATGGAGATTACACCGACATCTCCTGTCAAGTCGGTCCCCTTTAAATAGCTGCATAATGTATACCATTTTCTTAGGGACATCAGTCGAATATTTCTCCTTGGGTGCTGCGTTTTGTGTGTTATGCTATGGCTCACAGGAATATCCGTACTTCCGTATTGCCGAGGTGAGACACAGCAGTTCACTTTGGCTCGTTTCTGGGGAGCAAAGATAACGAGCCCCGG